TTTCTTTCCCTTCCCTTCCCTTCCTTCCCTTTCCCTCCCCTCCTCTCCTCCCTCCCCCTTCCTTCCTTCCTTCCTTCCTTCCTTCCTTCCTTCCTTCCTTCCTTCCTTCAATCCTTCCTTCCTTCCCCTCACCACCCACTCTCCTCCACTTCTTCCTCTCTAGAAACACCCTGTGTTGGGCTGACAAGCCAAGCAGGGTGAGTTGTCTGGATGTATTTGCTTGGCTAATTCACAGTTCCCCCAATTCATGGTGCGTTTCCTTTTTTCTATCCTTTGTTTATTTGTCAGTTTACCCTGACTTCTGCAAAGTCAGAAGTAATACCGCCATTTCTTCTTCCACCAACATAACATCCTCTGATTTTGGTCAGTGCTAAAATGAGACTGCAGATAAGGTGGTTGTCTGGATCAGCGTCTGTGAAACCAGAAAACTGAAATTATTTGGGTTAATTGGGCGTGAAAGTCAACTTTTGTCAAAAGCCCCTGGCTGAAATTGGACGCTTGCAAAACGCAATATATTCTTTCCTTCATATTACCAGCAGCCCTTGTTTGAACCAGACGAGTCTATAATTCCAGCTGTCTTACAGTCTTCTGCATTAGTTCACAATAACATATCTGGGCGGTTGATTTCCAAATCTGTAAAGTTATGCACAAATATCATTTTCCCATCTTCCTTCATCTGTATCAATGCATCAAGTAGTCTTGGTCCCAGTACTTTGCTTAAAGCAATTCCTTTTTAAAAAAATTTAAGGGGTCTTTTCCTGGCATTCTGTATGTTTTTCCGCTACTAACAATTTAGTGTCTAATCCATTGCTACATAACCTTGTAATTTTAACTCCCCCCCTTAGCTTTATTCCTTTCTTTTATTCTGGTTTCTTGGCTATAGCATGAGAGGAAGGACCAGATAAAATTATTTCTTCCTCTCCCTTCAAATATTTTGAGAGCTGGATTGCAAATATATAACCCAAATTCCAACAGAAGAGAACCTTTGGTAGCTCAGGATTGAACTGTGGGGTCCTTGGGTCTCTCTGAGCTTGGTGGTTTCCTTGCAGGTGTTTCATGATCCAACTAGGTAACATAATCAGTGCTAGAAGGGGCTTGTATATAAACAGAGAGCAAAGCCCCTCCCTTCTAGCCCAGCCAGAAACACTGGTGCAGGTGGACGGATGGATGGATGGATTGGATGAGAGACACTGATTTAGATAGATAAATGGGATAGATGGATGGATGGATAGATGGATTGATGAATAGTTGAGAAACACCGGTGTAGTTAGCTAAATGGAAGGATGAATGGATGGAAGGATGGATGGATAGATAGATAGATAGATAGATAGATAGATAGATAGATAGGGATATATGTATGTATGTATGGATGGATGTATAGAGAGATGGATGGATGGATGGATGGATGGAGAGATGGAGAGATGGATGGATGGAGAGATAGATATGGTAGATAGATATGGATGGATGGATAGATAGATATGGATGGATGGATGAATGGATAGAGAGATGGATGGATGGATGGATAGATAGATAGATAGATAATAGATAGATAGATATGGATGGATTGATGGATAGAGAAATGGATGGAATGGATATAGATGATAGATAGATAGATATAGATGATAGATAGATATGGATGGATGGATAGAGAGATGGATAGAGAGATGGATGGATGGATGGATGGTGGATGGATAGATAGATATGGATGGATGGATGATGGATAGAGAGATGGATGGATGGAATGGATAGATAGATAGATAGATAGATAGATAGATAGATATGGATGGAAGGATGGATGGATGGATAGACGGATGGATAGATAGATAGATAGATATGGATGGATGGAGAGATGGATGGAGAGATGGATGAATGGATGGATGGGTAGGTAGGTAGATGGGTGGGTGGGTGGGTGGATGAATGGTTGAGAAACATTGGTATAGATACATAGTTCATTTGTTTTTGGAGCTCACTTCTCTTGTATTGAGTTTTGACCTAAGGAAAATACACCATCTTTTTGGGGGTGGTGGGGATGGTACTGGATCAGTGGCTTATTAATCTTACCAACGAAAGCCTTCCAAGTTCGGAAGCCCCATAACTTCCTTAAAGCATCTCTCCGTTCCAAATTCACCTGCCATATTTGATATTGGTGTGTGGAACGAACTGTGTTTGGCTGTGTTTTGGCGAATGCCGCATTAACTCAGCCCTCAGTTCAGGGGCTTTGCAGAGGTTTATGGCTGGGGGGGGGAGGGGTGCTTAACCTTTCCTCGTCCCCTTCTCATTTTCCACATCCTTGGCGGCTTTGCTCCCCGGACGGCCAAGGCAGGTGCGCCTTTGCCGTTCACAAGACTTGGGGAGAAAACTCTTGCGGGGGAGAAAATCTTTTATCTCCATCTGTATCTAAAGCTTAGCGCTCCTTTTCCAATTACTCTGTTAATTGTTTAAGAGATTGGCCAGAATAAAAAAAAAGAAAAAGGAGAAATCCCTAATCTTCTTCTTTTTTTTTATAAAAGACTTAGAAAAGAATCAGGGCCACATACTTCTTAAATTAATTTTCTTCATGAATTACTTCTTTCTGAATGCAGATTTGCGAGTCGGGGGGGGGCGACTTTTGTCTGTCTTCCAAGCACCTGGCTTGCTATTTGCACATTTCTCGCTCTTTTTACCACCCCTCCCTTCTCGCCACACACTTCTTCCACGACTGTGCTCAGAACACACGCCTGTTTTGGAGAAAAACACAGAAGATTGGTACAGGATTTGGTAGTTAATTCGTTTCCGAATAGAAGAAATTGGCTGGGCAGATCATCGGATCAACCGATTCCCTCGTAGTTGCTACAAGCCTCATCTTGTCTCTATAGATGTGAAAACGATGAACGATGAAGAAAACGGGGTGCAATAAGGAGGAATATTAGTATATTATTACGGTGATGATGTTCCTAACTCAATCTAAGATGCCAGAGCTTCCAGATTCTTGCTATTGCATTGTCCTGCTTTATTTCCAGGAGAGCTATAATATCGGAATTGCTATAGACTAGACTAGACTAGACTAGACTAGAATAGACTAGAATAGACTAGAATAGACTAGACTAGACTAGACTAGAATAGACTAGACTAGACTAGAATAGAATAGAATAGAATAGAATAGAATAGAATAACAGAATTGGAAGGGACCTTGGAGGTCTTCTAGTCCAACCCCCTGCTTATGCAGGAAACCCTATACCACTTCAGACAAATGGTTGTCCAATGGTTGGAGCCTGGATAGCTCTGCAGACTAAGCACTGTAATTTAACACCAGCTGTCTGCAATTAAAGTAAGTTCGAATCTTGCCAGGCTCAAGGTTAACTCAGCCTTCCATCCTTTCTAAGGTAGGTAAATTGAAGACCCAGTTTGTGAGGGCAATAAGCTGACTTTGTATAAATATACAAAAGTATGAAGGCTATTGCTTAACACACTGTAAAGCCGCCCTGAGTCTCCGGAGAAGGGCGGCATATAAATCAAATTTAAAAAAAATCTTCTTAAAAGCCTCCAGTGTTGGAGCATTCGCAACTTCCGAAGGCAAGTTGTTCCACTGATTAATTGTGAGAGGCATCTTTAATTTTGAGTTTTCCCAAGTCTTAAATTAAAAAAAAAAACATTTAACCATTTAACCATTTATATATTATAAACAGATGTAACAGCTGGCAGAACTGGATGCTCTGGGTTACCTCGCCCATGAATCATAATTGTTCAAGATCAGTCAGTGCCCATTTCAAGTTAACCGTTGATTTTACCAAAAGGGCTTATTAGTTCTCCTAAGCTTTTCATAAGAAGCATATTAATTTTTGTGATGACAGTTACCATTTCTTCAAACGCAACCGGTTTTGTGCTATTCTATAGGAACGGCATCATCTAGTACAGGAATATATTGTATTAATTCCAAGAACGATAAAAAAAACCCTGACCTATAAATGAGAGGTTTTGTGTGTGTGTGTGTTAAGGCAAGGCCTTGAAAAGATAATGATTGTGGCACTGACTTTCTCCCTTTTGCAAATGTACTTCTTAAGAAGCTTAACAGAAAAGTACATTTTTCAGTCTGCCGTTCGCTGTAAGAAATGTCTTGGGAAGTTGGTCTAGGACACATTTAAATTAGGAAAGTTATGATGGTAAAATAGACTTTATTTGGCTAAAGCACAGGGGTTCTTGTGGGCATCATTCAGTCAGTTTTGACTCCTGGAAATTATGTCAATGGATCCCTGCCATTGTCTCTTTCCTAGGGCTAAGAGGGAGTGACTGGCCGAAAGTCAGTCAGCTAGTTTCATCCCTATGAAGGACTATCATTCAAGTTTCTTCGTTTCTAGCAGATACAGATATAGATTAACAGAGTTGGAAGGGACCTTGGAGGTCATCTAGTCCAACCCCCCACCCAAGCAGGAGACCCTACACCATTTCTGATTGATGGCAGTCCAGTCTCTTCTTGAAAGCCTCCAGTGATGAAGCTCCCATAACTTCTGAAGTCAACTTCAGTTCCATGGGCTGATTGTTCTCACTGTCAGAAAATTTATCCTTATTTCTAGGTTGAATCTCTCCTTGATCAGTTTCCATCATTATTCCTTGTCTGGCCTTCAGGTGCTTTGGAGAATAGCTTGACCCCCTCCTCTCTGTGACAGCCCCTCAAATATTGGAAGACTGTTCGCCTGTCTCCCCTGGTCCTTCTCTTCACTAGACTAGCCTGCAACTGTTCATTGTATGTTTTAGTCTCCAGTCCCCTAATCATCCTGGTTGCTCTTCTCTGCACTCTTTCTAGAGTCTCAACATCTTTATCTACCATAGCAACCTGGTCCTTACAAAAGCTAAGCTAAATCATTTTTTTAAAGCTGGTGGACGTGCCTAGAAAATTTGAGAATGGGCTGCGGGTTAAAATTGCTGCCGTTGAGAGAAAACAGGACTGCTTCCAAAGGAAATTATTTGCAGGCAGGTTGGCTGCCCAAACAAGGCACACATATCACACTGAGCTGATTTGTTGTTTTTTAAAATCATATTTTATTAAAGAACCTGTCAGCCCAATTCACCCGGTTTCGACTTACGACCACAATTGAGCCCAACATTTCTGTTGTTAAGCGGGATGTTTGTGAAGTTGAGTTTGGCCCCATTTTATGACTTTCCTTGACACAACTGAGAAGTGAATCACTGCGGGAATTAAATTAGTAAGAGGGTTGTTAAGTGAATCTAGCTTCCCCATTGACTTTGCTTCTCAGGAGGTTGCAAAGGGGATCATGTGACCTTGGGACACTGCAACGGTCGTAAGTATGAGCCAAGCATCTGAATTTCGATCCCAAGAACCATGAGGCTGCTGCAACGGTCGTAACTCTGAAAAACGGTCGTAAGTCGCTTTTTTTCAGTGCCCTTGTAACTTTTGAGTGTACAGAACTGCATTGCTATTGGATTCATTTGCCCAAATTAAAATCTTCTCCTTTAATTCATCTGACTGCATCCGACATGTGTTGCATTCAGCCTAGCATTTATAACAGTTGCTTATGAAATTCTAAAGCCAAGCACAGTAAATAGCAATTATTTAAGCCAATCATCAAACATAAGCTTTTTTTTTTTAAAAAAAATTGCAGGTTCTAAAATGCAATATATTTTACACGCATCTTGCACCAAAGGCTCCGCGCGCCACGTTGATCAAAAACCAATTTTTCTGCTAGCGTGAAAACATTTCATACTTATGCCGAAGAGCAGAACGGCTGTTTCAAATCAAACGCTAAATAATTTGGGGCGTTTGACTCTGAGAAAATAAAGACCGTAGCCAATGGATTAGGCAACGTTATTTTGAGCTCATTTGAGCCTAATTGTTTAAATAACTACAGCTAGGATAAACATGTTTTGTTGAAATTCGGTTCCTTTCCACAGAATTCCTCAGCTTTAGCCATACATTCTCCTTGGTGCAGTACAGTAATATTGGCGGGCGCTCCTTGCTTTATAAAATAGGAATTTGTCGAAGCATATGTCCCATTCATGATGGATTCAGCGTGGTATCACCGGTTTCCAAAAAGAAACAAAGTTCTACTTTACAGATTAACAGAGTTGGAAGGGACCTTGTAGGTCATCTAGTCCAACCCCAACCCCCCCCAAGCAGGAGACCCTACACCATTTTTGACAGATGGCAGTCCAGTCTCTTCTTGAAAGCTTCCAGTGGTGAAGCTCCCTCAACTTCTGAAGGCAACTTCTGTTCCATTGGTTGGTTACTTTCCAAAAATCTTACAAAACAAGGCCCATCCTACTGGCAGTATTTTTTTTTTTAAGCACCAACTTTCCTTGGGAGTGTTCATCCTTAATCAACACTTTCCACCCTCAATCCCAAAATTTCCCCTCTTTTAAATTAAAAAAAAACAGTCTTTCTTAAAGAGCAATCCAGTGCATGGAAAGAGATGAATTGTAGATGGCCACAGCTTAGATCAACAGTCTGCAACCTTAAACACTCAAAGAGCCATTTGGACCCACTTCCCACAGAAAAGAAAATGCCGGGAGCCACAAAACCCTTCCCGAGCCTGACTATTTCTTGAACGGCCCCAAAACTAGCATATGTAGTTGAATTAAACGTTCTATTTTCTTCTGAAACTTTTCTTGGATTTATCCATGGTTGGCCTACTGGGGATTGAAAAGCTCAATAAATCGTGTGCCAGGAGGGTGTCGCACATTGGCGGTTGTGACACATATTTTGAGTGACAGGGAGCCGCAGCAGAGGGCTGAAAGAGCCACATGCGGCTCCAGAGCTGCAGGTTGCTGACCTTGCTTAGATCAAGGGTAGAGCCAAGCTGGGTGTCTCTGTTATGAGAGACATTGGTGCCCTTTGGCCAACAGACATCATCCCCTGGTTGATCAGTAAAGAACTTTCTCGGAACTCCTGTGATTCGGCATCAGGTTCAAAGGAGGCACCTGATCAGAATAGTCTCTGCCTTTCAGTCTCGGGTCTGCAGTATTTGAGTTTTTTGTCTCAGCCAGGATGGGATCCGTGAAGGTGGTGACCACAGCATTGGCGGGAGCTTTCATTAGAACTGAGGTGGGGCTCATCCAAGGATTTAATGCACTGAGAAACCTGCATTCATGAGAAGGAGGACAACAGAAAGAACAAGTCAACCACTGAAACATTGGAAAGATTTTAGTTCTTGGGGACGCAGAAGCTACTGAAATACAAGATCAGTTTGAAGTCTACTTCTACATTTTCCATCCAGGTTTCTTCTGAAAGCTACTCCACTATCTTTCCTAGATTTTAAAAGGGATGATACAATGTAATATAATAACAGAGTTGGAAGGGACCTTGGAGGTCTTCTAGTCCAACCCTCTGCTTAGGCAGGAAACCCTACAACACTTCAGACAAAGGGTTATCCAACCTCTTCTTAAAAACTTCCAGTGTTGGAGCATTCATAACTTCTGGAGGCAAGTTGTTCCACTGATTAATTGTTCTCACTGTCAGGAAATTCCTCCTTAGTTCTAAGTTGCTTCTCTCCTTGATGAGTTTCCACCCGTTGCTTCTTGTCCTGCCTTCAGGTGCTTTGGAGAATAGCTTGACTCCCTCTTCTTTGGGGCAGCCCCTGAGATATTGGAAGACTGCTATCATGTCTCCCCTAGTCTTTCCTTTCATCAAACTAGACATACCCAATTCCTGCAAGCGTTCTTCATATGTATCTCTAAAACTTTCTTAGCAACTATTACAATTCCCAATGTAATCATTACTACAATGTTAGTATTCCATAATGATAATATTCTGAATCATAGGATGAAAGGGCTGGCTGGAAGGGACCTTGGAGGTCTTCTAATCCAACTTTCCAACATTCCCAAGGTAAACAATGACAAGCAGTTTGCCAATAGATAAATAAATACTTTTAGAAAACAACAGCAAGACTGCACAGGAAAGAAACCCCATCAATTTATCAGAACAAGGAAGATTATTAAGTCATTTTAGTAATGTTCCTTTTTCTAGTTAGCATCCATATGGTTTGGTTATGTCTCATCTCTATTATCATCATCTGAAGTAAGCAACTACCAAAGACCACTCAGAGCAAGAGGCTGGCCAACCAAGGAGAAAAATCACACACATCTATCAACCTTGTTAAGTCACCTGCCAACCTAGCAGTTCAAAAGCACGTAAACAATGCAAGGAGAAAAATAGGGACCACCTTTGGTGGGAAGGTAACAGCGTTCCGTGCGCCTTTGGCGTTGAGTCATGCCGGCCACATGACCACGGAGACGTCTTCGGACAGCGCTGGTTCTTCGGCTTTGAAACGGAGTTTGAGTACCGCCCCCTAGAGTCGGGAACGACTAGCACATATGTGCGAGGGGAACCTTTACCTTTAAGTCACCTGTGCAATTCTGGAACTGTTACCTTCCAAGTTGAGGGTTTAACATCGAGTTTCGGAAAAGCGACGTCCAGCCAAAACTACCGATGCTGAACGGTGTGAGAGTGGTTGGGCTGAATGCTGGGGCCATGGGAGGCACGGCCACGGCAGAAATGGGCAACGCTCTCCAAGTGGAGTCCAAGAGGGGCGTCTGGGTCAGTGGGATGTCCAGGTACAAACCCAGAGGTGGGGTCCAGGAGATGCCAGCCCTGTTTCCCGGAATCTCCGCTTTTTCCCGTTTCCTCCACTTCGCCCTTCGGTTCTGAAACCAGACCTTTGAAGAAAGAATAATAGACTAGAATAACAGAGTTGGAAGGGACCTTGAAGGTCTTCTAGTCCACCCCCTCGCTTAGGCAGGAAACCCTACACCACTTGGCCACACTTGGAACACTGCATCCAGTTTTGGTCGCCACAATGTAAAAAAGCTGTGAAAAGAGTGCAGAGAAGAGCAACGAAGATGATTAGGGGACTGGAGGCTAAAACCTATGAAGAACGGTTGCAGGAACTGGGTATGTCTAGGCTGATGAAAAGAAGGACATGATAGCAGTCTTCCAATATCTCAGGGGCTGCCCCAAAGAAGAGGGAGTCAAGCTATTCTCCAAAGCACCTGAGGGTAGAACAAGAAGCAATGGGTGGAAACTAATCAAGGAGAGAAGCAACCTAGAACTAAGGAGAAATTTCCTGACAGTGAGAACAATTAATCAGTGGAACAACTTGCCTCCAGAAGTTGTGAATGCTCCAACACTGGAAGTTTTCAAGAAGATGTTGGATAATCATTTGTCTGAAGGGGTGTAGGGTTTCCTGCCTAAGCAGGGGGTTGGACTAGAAGACCTCCAAGGTCCCTTCCAACTCTGTTATTCTGTTAAGACTTCAGACAAACGGTTATCGAATCTCTTCTTAGAAATTAGATAACCAAGAGAGTGTGGGAATCTGCCTCTCTGAACTGACCCACGGAGGATCCAATATTAAGACTTACTTTAACTTTATTGTCACTTTGAATGTACACTAATCAGCATACGTTAAAATGAAATTTCGTTGCATGTAGCTCTCAAAGGGTCACCACCTCCAATATGCGCTACATAAACATGCCAAAATGAATGAATGAATGAATGAATGAGTGAATAAAATAAATACAAAATTATGCATATGGCCACATATATGACACAGAGAAAAAAACATAGTCTAGTTCAGATGTATACATGTACATGGCGAGACAAACGAATCTTGCGTGTTTACCAGACGGATGGTCTAGGGAACAAAGCTGTTTCAGAATCCTGCAGAGTCCTGCTAGAAATACTTTGAAACCTCCTCCCGGAGGGGAGCAACAGAAACAGACCATAAAGTGGGTATGTGGGGCGTCTAACCATGCTTTGAGCTCTAAGCACACAGCACTTATAAACTGCATCCGGAATAACGGGATGCGAGCTTCCTATAATCTTCTCCGCTGTCCTCACCACTCTCTGTAGGGACTTTCTATCTGAGGCACTGCGGCCACCAAATCGAACAGGGATGCAGTTTGTTAAAACGCTCTCAATCGGGCCTCTGTAAAAAAGTGGCCAGGACAGAAGGAGAAAGATTAAACCCATCACCTGTCATTTCCGTTGCTGTCACCTCTCTTGGAAGCTTTTCTACCCCACTGATGGGTTTCACATGTTCCATGCACGCATTAAACATTAAAAGTGGTTAGCTTGATGCCACCGCTACTTGGAAATGAATGAGCAACAACTTCAGCCAGGACATTTAAAGACCCAGCATATCAGTCAAATTTTTGAAATTGCTGGGTATCTTACTTCTTCCAAGCCCTGGAAGAGAGAATGAATGAGAAATTCATTCCTTTCCCTTCCTATTTTCAGCCAAGTTAAGCAGACCTAGAAAAGTAGGGGGAAAAATCAACAGTTTCTGTGTCTCCCTCTCTACATGTCTAAAAATGAAGCTAAGCTTTCCTACACAACCTGGTTGTGAGTTTTACACACTTCCAGAAGATCGTAGATTTGGAAAGGGCCATAACCTTTGAGTGAAGCCCCTTCGTAATGTCATCACAACATCGCAACGGATAACAAATGCTATCTAAGATCCTTCACCTTTATTACATGTGTTTTGTGCACAATGCTGCTTATTATTGTTGTTCTTATTTATGACTGTGAAGCCATCAGGAGTCTTAAAAAAAAAATCAAAATCCTGTGGCAGGATAGCAACATATTCAATAAATAAGTCATTCTCCTTGGATTCCAGCAGAAGTTTTGGTGTCTGATTGCTGGATAAGTAACATTGCCTTAGTTCACGCTCGACCCAGAAGGAAAGACACACCTGTCACTCACCTGAACTCGAGCTTCTGTAAGGTCTAACTGTATGGCAAGTTCTTCCCTGAAACACAAAGGCAAACAACATCTTAATATTGAGACAATTTACGACTCACCCAATCCCACCCGATGGGGTTTTTTCAGACTTCTCAAGAGGTTGCAGTGACAAGTTCAACACGGGGGAAAAATACCCCCCCAAACTGGAGATGAACTGGCAATGCCCTTAGATGAATAACCAAGCCGGCTTGCTTAACCGTGGTTTATCAAAGGCCACATCTCTCAAGAGGAGGCAGAAAATACCCCTCCCCAAAAGTTTCTCAAGCAGCTCCCATATCACCCTACACCAGAGATGAAAACTTCTTCATTCCCAACCAAGATTACTACTACTACTACTACTACTACTACTACTTCTTCTTCTTCTTCTTCTTCTTCTTCTTCTATATCACCCTACACCAGAGATGAAAACTTCTTCATTCCCAACCAAGATTACTACTACTACTACTACTACTACTACTACTTCTTCTTCTTCTTCTTCTTCTTCTTCTTCTTCTTCTTCTTCTTCTTCTTCTTCTTCTTCTTCTTCTTCTTCTTCTTCTTCTTCTTCTTCTTCTTCTTCTTCTTCTTCTTCTTCTTCTTCTTCTTCTTCTTCTTCTCCTCCTCCTCCTCCTTCTCCTTCTCTTCCTCCTCCTTCTCCTTCTTCTTCCTCCTCCTCCTCCTCCCTCTCCACCTCCCCTCCTCCTTTTCTTTTCCCTCCTTCTCCTTGCTCCTTCTTTCTCCTCCTTGCTCCTTCTTTCTCTCCCCCCTCCTCCCCCAAAGAGGGGGTTCTCCGCCAAAGCCCCCCACCTGGTGAAGACGTCGGGGTAGTGGCACTTGCGGAAGGAGCTCTCCAGCCCCTGCAGCTGGACGTGGCTGAAAGTGGTGCGGTACCGGCGCTGCTTGCGCTTCTGCGGCTCCGGCGCTTGGCGGACGCTGGATGGGGCGCCCGGCCCGGGGATCAGCCCTCTCTCGCCCGGCTGCCCTTCCTCCGCGCGGCTGCCCGGCTTCTGCTGCTGCTGCTGCCGCCCCCGCGGCTCCGCTTCTTCCTCTTCCCCCGGCGCTACCTGCTTCAGGGGCCCGGGAGGCTGGCGCTTCTCTGCGGCGTCCTCGCCGGCTGCGGAGAGGAAGCAAAGCGGGGTCTCCTTCTGCACCGACTCCCCCAAGACTCCCCCAGGCAAGACGGCCCGGCTGGTCTTCGGGACTGACCCAAGCGCGTGGAAACCGTGGAAGCAGCTTGCACCCGCGTGGAACCCGGCTCCCAGGCCCGCGGAAGCCGTGGAAGCCGGTTCCCACGCGCGCAGAAGCCGTGGAAGACGTTCCCACGCGCGCAGAAGCCGTGGAAGCCGATTCCCACGCGCATAGAAGCCGTGGAAACCGGTTCCACGCGAATAGAAGCCATGGAAGCCGTTCCCACGCGCATAAAAGCGTGGAAGCCGGTTCCACGCGCATAGAAGCCGTGGAAGCCTATTCCCACGCGCATAGAAGCCGTGGAAACCGGTTCCACGCGAATAGAAGCCATGGAAGCCGTTCCCACGCGCATAGAAGCGTGGAAGCCGGTTCGCATAGAAGCCGCGGAAGCCGATCCCACGTGCATAGAAGCCGTGGAAGCCGGTTCCCACGCGCGTGGAAACAGCCCTGGCTGGGTCCGTTCGTCCATCCATCCATTCATCCATCCATCCCTCCGAACGCGGTTCCATCCCCGCGCTCAACGAAGGGACCCTCCGCTCCACGCCCGCCGTCCAGGGTCCCATTCCAGCAAGTCGGGGGTCCCACCCACCCGCCGCGTGGAAAGTCAAGAGTCAGGGTCCTTGCGCGTGTCTCCCCCCACCACCATGCCACTTACCGCGACCCCCGGTCCCACCCAGGAGGCTGTCGAGGAAATAGGTGGCCAGGAGGTGCAGGGCGGGGGCGCCGCCGGGACCGGCGCTCTGCATGGTTACTGGCCGACCCACGTCCCGCGAGGGGTTTTATCCGCCCCGGGGGCGTCCTCGTTAGCAACTCAGGGGCGGTCGGGGGGAGGACAAACTCCTCCCGGGTCCCTCCGATGGGGCTGAAGCAGGTTGTTCCTGCGACTAGTAAGCTCCACCTTCCCCCAGCCTTTCTCCGCGGAGAGAAGCGAGGTAAAGAGTTTGTCTTTGCAACTAAGTGGATTTTTTTTGGGTGGGGGGGATTCTGCCTCCCCCCCCCAAAACCAGAGCTGAGGTCGACAGAATTAATTCACTCCGGTCCTCCCCCCCAGCCCCCCAAGCTGGGACTGTACCATATTCTGTTGTGAATGTTCCTTGGGCAGCACTAAGCACATTGAATAAAATAAGAGTTGGAAGGGACCTTGGAGGTCTTCTAGTCCAACCCCCTTCTTAGGCAGGAAACCCTCCACCACTTCAGAGAAATGCTTACAGATTAACAGAGTTGGCAGGGTCCCTGCAGGTCATCTAGTCCAACCCCCTGCCTATCTTTTTTTGACAGATAAAACTTTATCTGTCAAAAACTTTAAAACTGGGTTTTATTGCTGGGTGGCTTTTGACTAAGAAGTTTCTTTCGTTGGCTCCCTAGATTTTCAACTGGGGGAAGGTCTGGGCTATTCCCAGGCCATTCCAGCAGTGGAATAGGATTATCTTGAAACTCTCCCCCAAAAGTGGTGTTATTAGCCATCAAACCTCAAAAATACCCTTTTCCCAAAAGGTTTCCACAATTTTGGCCACTACTATACCTAGCATAAGATGGGAGCCAGTTTTATTTTTTAATGGCCCAAAATTTCAGCCTTACGCTTAAGTTTCTTTCCAGCATCTCTGAGAAATTCTGAGGAAGTCTGCTAAAATCAGACTGGCTTTCTTCTCTTGCCCAGAATAAAAATTGTGCATTTTAGACCAAGTTTTGCAAAGAGATTTGATGCGATCTGAAGCCCTGTGGGGGCTTTGATATGGGATGAGAAGCGAGGAGGTAAAGAGTTTTCCTTTGCAACTCTGGTGATTCCAGATTTCTGATTCAAAGATCAGTCCAGTTGGGCAGCCTGTTTTTTTGGAAGAAAACAGTTGCTAAAAAGTGAATTTCTCGCTCCCTCTGCTGGTCGAGATGGGCTATGTTATCAGAATCATGCTTTCTCCTCCTTTTCCCCCTCAATTCATAATCAGAATTAAGTAGAGTTAAATTCCCTGAGTTTAGCAATGGAACTCAACCATTTGAGTTATTTCACTCAACTTATTTCAGTCGTCAGTAGTGGGTTTAATTTGGTGTTTTTCAAACTTGGCCATTTTAAAATGTGCAGACTTCAACTACTCTAGTTCCCAGTCTGAAAAACACCGAATTAAACCCACTACTGACGACTGAAATAAGTTTGTTATTGTGCTCCAAACATCCCTTAAAATCTGGATAACTGGGAGACACACACACACACAGAGCGAGAGACAGAGACAGAGACTGAGAGACAGAGAGACAGAGACAGAAAGAGAGAGAAAGAGACAGAGAGAAAGAGAAAGAAGAGAGAAAGAAAGAGAGAAAGAGACAGAGAGAGAGAAAAAAGAAAGAGACAGAAAGAGAAAGAAGAAAGAGAAAGAAAAAGACAGAGGGAAAGAAGAAAGAAAAAGAGAAAGAGAGAGAGAGAGAGAAAAAGAAAGAGACAGAGACAGAGACAGAAAGAGAGAGAAAGAGACAGAGAGAAAGAGAAAGAAGAAAGAAAAAGCCAGAGAGAAAGAAGAAAGAAAGAAAGAGAGAAAGAGACAGAAAGAGAGAGAAAGAGACAGAGAGAAAGAGAAAAAGAAAAAGAAAGAAGAGAGAGAGAGAGAGAAAGAGAGAGAGAGAGAGAGAGAGAAAGAGAGAGGAGAGAGAGAAAGCAATGATAGTGCTTAGCAGTTTAGTGAACTAACTAGATTTAAATATTGCACTCTAGAAAGGGTAAGTTTCAATTTATAGTCTCCATAAAAGCAATTTAATAGTCCTGGAATAATTAATATAGAAGAATTGTTTCTATCAAAGATTATGTGATACCCCGGGCACTGTTTGTGGGTTTATTTATTTATTTATTTTATTTTTAACAGTTCAGTTTAAAAGAACAAACTTCACACTCCGGAATAACTTTCTCCGAGAAAGAAAGAAGCTTCTTTTCGCAATATATATATATATATATATATTTGGAAGGTGTCTGCGTTCCATTTGCCTCCCAAGGTAGCTTTGCACCTCTGTGTCAGTTCATTCATTCATTCATTCTTTTTTTTTTTTTTTAAATTTTGGTGTCAGGGGTAGATTTATTAAGGCAGATCCAAAGCCATTTCACCGATTGGTCATTTCGGATGCGATGGGCACGCTGTGTCTTTCAATTACTCGCTGTGTCAAATATCCGAGGGCCAGTTGGTTATTAGCATCCATTATAATTTATGTTGCCTCCGACCGTAATAAGTTGTCAAATTCAGCAATTAAGCGGCTTTGATTTATTTCTTCCTTCCCGATGCCCTCCTCAAAAAAAAAAAAAAAAAAGGGGGGGGGATTTTAGCCTTAAAATGATTGACAAGCTGCACCCCCCCCTCCACGTAGGTTCTGCAAAAGGTTTGCAAAAGAGCTAAACTGAAATGCGTTGTAATTAATCTGTGATTCCAGGGGTGAAATGTAAAAATTTGTTACTACCGGTTCTGTGGGCGTGGCTTGATGGTGGTGGGGTAATGTGACTGGGTGGGCGTGGCCATTTTTTTTTTTTTTACTTTTAAAAGCATTTTTTTCTACAACCTCTTCGGCCGAAGTGCCTTTTAAAAAACCCAGCTGAGTTGCCTGATCGTCAGAGGCTTTTAAAAGCATTTTGTCTATGACCTCTTCAGAGATCGTAGAAAAAATGCTTTTAAAAGCCTCTGACGATCCCAGCTGAGCCGCACAATCATCAGGGGCTTTTTTTTTTTTTACTTGTAAAAGCATTTTTTCGGCCGAAGAAAAAATGCTTTTAAAAATAATAAAAAAATAATAAAAAAAGGCCTCTGATGATCAGGCAACTCAGCTGGGCATGGGGGGTGGGCAGGGATTTTTGCTATCTGCCACCATCGCTACTGGATCGGGCGATCCGGGCTGAACCAGGAGCATTTCACCCCCGTGTGATTCGTATTATTAGGGTGGTGGGGGGAAATGAAAACTTGGTTTCGTTGTGAAATCTCTGCTTGGTTTTGCAACAATTGTTTGGCATTAGAGCATTTTGGGGTTGTTTTTTTTTGTTTATTTGTTGGTTTGATTTTTTTTGGGAAAACTCTAGTTGAAGGCGGCTGGGTTCGCCTCTTCCGTTACATCGAATTGGGGAGCTTGACAATCATTTGTTAAGCTGTGGTTTGTTTAACCGGGCTTTGTTGAATAGCCAAACTAGCTATTACTGCCCACTGCAATTAAGTCATGAATCACAGCTTACAAATCACACGGTAAAGAGGTTGCCTTGAATTCTCAACAGAAAAAAAAAAGGGACATAAATGTCAGAAATAAGAGCCTTGGTAGTACAATGGTCTAAAGCACCCTGTTATTAAGACCAGCTGCCTGCAATTACTGCAGGTTCGAATCTTGCCAAGGCTCAAGGTTGACTCAGCCTTCCATCCTTTCTAAGGTAGGTAAATTGAGGACCCAGATTGTGGGGGCAATAAGCTGACTTTGTATAAATATACAAAAGGATGAAGGCTATTGCTGAGCACATTGTAAGCCGCCCTGAGTCTCCGGAGAAGGGCGGCATATAAATCAAAATTAAAAAAAAAAAATAAGTAAGTGGAAGGCAACCAAATTATAAGTTTGGCTTAGCACCGTGTATGGATCTGGTGTGCATATAATTAAGAGTTCTTTTGCCCAAGTAGGGTTGAGACAACTTAACAAATGCACACATATGCAGTGGTTAAGCTCAGGTGCGTCTAAAGAGAAGGTCAGATAGGTACTGGGCCATCGTTGCATCACAAAAGAACCAGTTTGGACCAGTGGTTAAGGCACCAGGCTAGAAACTGGGAGATGGTGAGTTCTAGTCCTGCCTTAGTCATGAAACTCAGCCAGGTGACCTTGGGCCAATCACTAGGTGACGTGAATTCTAGTCCCGCCTTAGCTAAGAAATCCAACTGGGTGACCTTGGGCCAATCACCAGGTGACTGTGACTTCTAGTCCTGTCTTAGCCATGAAACTCAACTGGTGATTTTGGGCCGATCACCAGGTGACTGGGAGTTCTAGTCCTGCCTTAGCCATGAAACTCAGCCGGGTGATTTTGGGCCAATTACCGGGAGACTGGGAGTTCTAGTCCCATCTTAGCCATGAAAGCCATCCAGGTGACCATGGGCCAATCACTAGGAGACTGTGAGTTCTAGTCCCACCTTACCCATGAAAGCCAGCTGGGTGATTTTGGGCCAATCACCAGGAGACCGTGAGTTCTAGTTCTGCCTTAGCCATTAAAGCCAGCTGGGTGATTTTGGGCTAATTACCAGGAGACTGGGAGTTCTAGTCTTACCTTAACCATGAAAGCTATCCAGATGACCATGGGCCAATCACTAGGAGACTGTGAGTTCTAGTCCCACCTTACCCATGAAAGCCAGCTGGGTGATTTTGGGCCAATCACCAGGCGACTGTGAGTTCTAGTCCCACTTTAGCCATGAAAGCTAGCTTGTGTGACGTTGGCTCAGTCCCTCTCTCTTGGCCCAACCCAACGCACCTCACTGGGTTATTGTGAGGTGAAATAGGAGAAGAAAGATGTGTTGGATATGTGCGTCACCTCGAGTTATTTGTAAAAAAAAATAATAAATAAAGGCAGGATACAAATAGATAAATAGAAGCCTGACCTTCTTTTTTTAATTTATATTGCAACACACGCTAAAAAAGAAACAGGACTTAATTGCATGCCTACCGTTTTGACATTTCTGTACCCTTCCTGGGGCACCCCTGATGCAGCTTCCCCCCCAAAAAACAGTGCGAGATATTCACCTGTTCCGGAGGGGAGACTTAAAAAAATACCTCCTTCCCAAGAGAAGTCATGAAAG